AAAAAAAAAAAAAAATGCAAAGACAGGAACTGTTTTATTTTGCTAAGGTTTCCTGTCATTGTCAATTTTAGCACATCAGGCTACAGAGCCAAAAAGTCAATAGGAAGCTTTTACTTTGCAAGATTTTTTTGCTTAACTTGTATGACTGAACATTGGGCTCATTACCTCAAAGTTCTCCATCTACAATTTTTGGAAAAAGTTGGTGAAAATAAAAGTCACTCAGGATAGCAATATTTTGCCTCCATGAATCGTCTCTCCTAATCTTAATGACCACAGTGTCTTTAGTGGTCCACACTAAAAAGTAACAATACTGGCGCTTTGTTAGAAACATCTGGCCTTGGCACTGATGCCAGTAGATGTGAGTTGTGCTCAGGGTGTACTGACCATTGTCCGTCTCCTTCAAATAAAAGTCTTTGTGTTTACATGCTTCTTTAATGGTCTCATTCCGATGCGTGTAAGGACACTTGCACTCAATTACTGAGTCATCTCCAACAAGTCCATCTGGGGAAGCACCCAGAACCCCAGACTCATGCAACCATAGGCCTGTCTGTACAGGTGTCAGACCAGTTATCTTCTCAAAGGCTTTCAGAGCCTCAGTCGCATTGTCCTGTCTCCATGCAATTGCTTTTACTCCACTTAAATTGTAGTCTCCAAGAAGACGCTTTATGAGGGATGCAGTGATTCTCTTTGCATGGAGAACAGAGCCAAAATTGCTGGCTGTTAGACGATTCCTTCGGTCTAGGTGCCATGTAGGATTGTTCCTTTGTCCAGCTGTGAGAGAGCTCACCAGATTGATTACATTCTCATCAATTTTAGCATTCTCTATCAGCACTTYTAGTTGTTCTTCAGTCGTAGAGGCCATAAGAAATCTCTCTGAGAAAATAATATCATCGATGGTATTGATTGGAAGCGGAGCAGGAGCCTGTGGTTCGGGACTCAAGATCCAGCATGTGCCAGTAAATTTGCCGTAGCGTTTCAGTTCGTTGTACAGCCACATTCGATCTTCTCCGCTCGGATCACGCGCTAAAGGTCTATAGTCTTTCTTTTTCGGTGGCATAGGAAACAGTTCATCAACAGATTGCACAGTTTCTGCTTGTCGTTTTCGCTTCCATTGACACTCCACATCGGTTCTACTGAGATTGTGTATGCCATACATAAACATGGCCGCCGCGTGACTGCACTTAAACTCGCCGCGAGGACATTCGCACTCCGTGCTTGTTATTTTCAGGTTTTCATCGAGATAAATCTGATAAAGAGAGAACGTTAATAATTAAATTCCTCAACATAAACAACGCAATACAGCWGAGATTGACCTTCGAGTGACCTTCGAGGGCACGTGTAGTGATTCAAAAGAACAACTTACTGTGACTTTGTAGATCTTATCTTTCATGCTTGCTTTAACTTCACCTTTGATAATTCCACCTGAATAGATAAAGCTTTCCACGTGGTTTGATTTCAAGTGGTTTTCTCCTCGATTTATCGATTTCTGTTCTCCAGAAAAGAAAGAAAAGAKCGAGGATATCGATAAAGACGCCATGTTTTGATAAGTGTCTTAGGTTTGTTTAGACCGCAAATTTCCGAAGTCATGGCAACGTGACGTCACGCTTGAGGACTCTATAAAAGTCCTAGAACAACATAACCTCCCATCAGACTTGCAGCTCTTCCAAGATATACTTGAGCTAAATCTGAGTCGTCAGACATGAAGGCGTTTTTCTTCTTGGTTGGCGTCCTGCTCGTTGTGTTCTTTGCTGGTGAAGTTCAGTCATCAGGTATAGTCATTTATATAATCACCCTATTATGAGTTTCTAATCTCCTTCAAGCCAAAAATCATAATATTTTTTTGGTCAATTCAAAGACAATCGTCGGTGATCGAATTGAAATGATAAATGTTTCCCTCCAGTTTTCAAGCAACCGTACCGAACATTTTGCAATGGCCGTTTAACTAACTTTCCTTCAGTTGGATTATTAGGAAATTCACATAAATATTTTACTGAGGTTGACGTTTATGATGATGTAAAATTTAGATAAATTCACGTTAAGATAGCGGCAAGACAATAAACAATTTTGGGCTTTAACGCGATGTTATAACAAAATAAATTCCAAAGCCATTCACTTCAAAAACCTGTTATAAGAAAAGCTTTACCAAAATAATTCTGTATTTTCGATGTTTGGTTTTAGGCCATGACTACAGTGTTCTTTTAAAAATAGTCAAAATTTGAGGGTTTTGCCCTGTTGAAGCTCAAAACGTACATGGTTCTTCAAAAAAAAAAAAAAAAACTTGTAGATTTTTTGGCGGTTTTGAGCGCGCGCAAATCGTGAGCTCAAATCGAACGTTCAAAAGTAGGCAGCCACCTTAATTAATTTCTAAACAATCCTTCAGAATATTTGACATACCTAACATTCCACCAGTCATCGCCATAACCTCCAACTAGACACTGTAGGCAGCGTTGACTGGGATACCTGGAAGCGGGAAGTGGAGGACCTGGTTTCAACATGCATGGAGTATTTAGTTGGTTGAGCTTCCAAAAATACTGATAAAGTACACCTTTTGCTGTTCATTAACCGCAAAGGAATATTCATTCAAGCGAAAAAGCATTATCATTAGCGCGAAGAGGCACACAATAACGCGAACGGAGTTTCAAGAGCGCGATGGAACTTCGAAAACGCTAATGAACCTGCACAAACATATTCATGATTGTCCAATGTTATGCTAAATTCCTTAATGAATGTTCCATCGCGCTCTTGAAACTCCGTTCGCGTTATTGTGTGCCTCTTCGCGCTAATGATAATGCTTTTTCGCTTGAATGAATATTCCTTTGCGGTTAATGAACAGCAAAAGGTGTAGTAGTGATAAATAACTCAATTTGGAACTGCAATCCCAGTTCCGGTCCGGATTTTGGCATACGTAATTAGGTTGTTGTTCGAGCGTAAACGTGCACATTTGCACGGGCATTGTATGGCTCGCTTAAAAATCAAAATGCTTCATTTAAAACGTAAATACGGGCTAATATTTGCTCCAGACCTCTCTCATAATTGCTTTACATTTTTTAATTTTATGATTTATCGATATTTTTTGATGAATCCCATGACACTATTCAATCTCGCGCGCTGATTGGCTACCGAGAGTGGGTATTTAGCGTGGAATACCATGGTTTGAAAAGCTGAATACCACGATATATAGGGATCCCGCGATTTGTTGTTGTTGTTCTCGCATTCACCTCAAAATACAAAGATTTTCGCCTGTCACACTATCTTTGTTTTGTTTAGTTTGAAAGTTGCAAAAATTGAGTTCCCAAATTTTAGTATTCAGCTAGACGCTGAGATACAAAAGTTGAGAAAACCATTAACGCTTGCAACAACAAGAAAAAAGAGAAAAGTTGCTAATATGGAGGCAGCATCAACTTCATCCTGGAAAGAAAAGACAATAAGCGAAAACATTGTCAGGGATACCGAGAAAAGTACCGAAAAGTCTGTCTGCCCCAAGTCAACCGATGAAAATTCTACTATTGTCGAGTACACAGATGAAGAAATCCTGGAGTTTAAAGAGAATTTGGTCGCGGCAAACACGAAGAAAAGCACAACTACATCTGTACGCC